CAGTAGGTTAATTTTTTGTGTATTTTTTAATGAATTTTAGTGGTTGAATTTCTTTTCTAAGTTAAAAATGGCCGAGTTATAGTCATCTGATTTTATGTTATTTGCATGGGAATAACAAATTATAAAATAATAATAAATACGTAATAATAAAAAGGTGAACTGCTGTACAGTAGGTTACAAGTGGGTCACTGTATAATGGATAGTATTAAATTTTAATTCAATGATATAATATCATTGTATAAGAAAAACGATTCTGAGCGGAGATGGTATGTCAGTCTAGGTATAAGACATGTTACATACTTATCTATTAAAAAATTTACCTATAATAGGTAGTATTAGGTACCTATAATAAATTCCAAATTAATCATATCACAATACCCATCAGGTACTTATAACGCGTTATACATCAACAACAAACCCTGATTCTATCATAGATATATAATAGTGTACTTTAGAAGTTTCAAGTACCCAAAAATAATATTATACAATCGCAACAAAATAAGTAAAATAGTAATTCTAGGTTTTTTTTATGTAATTTCGTCCAAATTTTAACTTAAAATGACTATAAAAATAAACTGTGTGTACTGTGTATGTATTTTTTAGAATTTTTGGTAACAGAGTTAACTACTTATGTGGAATCTTATAGTTCAAAATAAATCAAAATATTTTGAAAATATTATCGTGTATAGAAAATGCAAATATAAACAACCAGTGAAAATTTCATGTATTTACGGTCATTTGTTTTAAAGTTACACCAAAAACCAACCAAATTCAATTTTGTGAAAAATCGATTTTGCGTAAAAATTCCCGTCATTGTAAAATCCAAACATTCATCTTTACAATCAGAATCTAAAATGCTAAATTTAAATGTTGTTCTATGCACCTACTATCTTTCTTAATTTTCCAAATTTTTTTATAATAACATATTTCTCTCTGTTACAGTTATTATTTAAAGTTTAAACTAATAAAATAACTAATTATTAATATTCAACTAAAATATATAAATATCAATTAATAAGTGTCTTTACGTTATAAATTCAGCCCGTTGAATAATATATGTTATCATAGAGATTATTGGTATATTTGGTATTTTATTCATTAAATAGGAATACAATTTACTAGATCATTTATATTAGGGGTTGGCAAACTTTTTGATGACAAAAGCCAAAAAATAAAAATAAATTTTCACGGGCCATAATTTGAATATACCTACCTGTTTATTTTAAACACAAATATAATATATAGCTGTGTCAAATTTAGTTTATTTAGGTACATCAGTTTAACAGGTTATCTATAAACAAACCACGTTTTAATCTATACCTTTTTCAGTCCATACTATATTAGTTCATTGTTTTTATACATAATGTATATCTTAACACAGATATCCCTGATACATATTATTTGATATTAAAAATATAAAATCATTTTTTAAGAAAACAATGTTTTTAAGGTTGCAATGCATAATATTATTTTCATACGATATTAGCTTGTAAAATATTTAAAATAATGATGCTTTTTTGGGGGAGGAGTGCCCAAGAGTTTTCTTAAATTAGTACGTCAAAATTTGAGATTAGTTCGTGCTTTGAGATTATTTTTTGATTTTCCTGTGCTAAGAAAAATTATCAGCGACATAGCATATTTTAATAAAAAGTAATACAAGCACGAACTTTTTTAATAGTTTATTAAAATGTATTACATTCATATTGTTAATTTTTATATTTCTCAACATTTGTCACTGTATTCAGAATACCTACTTATTTTTATTTTTAAACTCTTGAAGTATGAAAATTGTAATCACAAACAGTTTATATAAAAATGTGTAAAATAAATGTTAAAAAAGACAAGATTAAGGTATGATTGGTTTTTTTTTAAATTTAATTTTCAAAATATGAAAAAGCTCACTATTATTTAAGATAATTATAATTTCATTATATTATGCAGGTAGTTAATAATAATATAATTTTTATTTTGTACCCTTACATAGTGCGCAGTTCATGTAAAAGAATGTCATTTTGAGTATAATATAATTGATGTTATATAATAATATATATATTTTTATACTATATGATTACGTACCTAAAATTTCTGTTTTACGGTTTACATAATTATAAGTCAATATACAATAAAGAAAACTTACAATAGCTTTGTGTACATAGGTTAATTATATAGATTTAGTAAAAAGCTCATAACTATTGTCTTGTTTATTTTTATAAATTTTTAAAAAAAATATTATAATTCATCACCTATTTTTATAAATACATTGAAAAAATATATATTTCCTTCTGCTACTCTAAACATATTTCCCTAACCTAGCCTGACAAGTGACGAGCTTAAAGTAAAATGTATTTTATGTGGAAAATAAATGATAATTTTACAATATTGGTAAATTTTTAATGAATGAGTATCAGCTGTACACTCATTCAGTAAACGACAGTAAAAAATAAAATCAATTTAAATACTGACACAATGATTTATAGTATGTTCAATCTCACCTATTACATTATTTTATTGTTAGGATGTTGGGTAGTTTTTAATTAAATGTGATTTAACATATTTTATTACGAAAAATGTGTTGAGCTTAACGAAATATTTAAAGGCCGTTTATAATTTACTAATACCTGAAGGTCTTGGCACTTTAAACAATTTATACAAACAAATTTATTTTCTATGAACAAAAAGTCGAATTAATAAGTAATTATAATTTCAGTTTTTTAACATAATATGTCATAATCTAGTTTTGTATAAGCAATTGCATTTAAAATCATCTTTATATTTATTATGATGGAAAATAAACTACAATAAAATAAGTCTGTAAAAATGTAATTTTTTTAATTTCATCTAATGATACACAACAATAAATTCGTTCAAATAAGGTTATTTCTATTTAATAAGGATGGGTTATTATAAAGTATTTTATGTAACCATCTAAAATAATTTTTACTTATAGTGAAAAAATATTTTCAACACTTATTTTAACCCTATTAGAGCAATAAATTTGTAGAATTTCATTCTTAAAGCACATAAAACTAGGTACCTTCTGCCAATTAATGTTTATCTTAGGTAAATTTGGCACTCAAAAATGCACAGTGTAAAATTCACAATACACAATACCCATCAGTTAGGTTAAAAAGAACCTATATTGATTCAAGATCAAAATCAAGGTCAAATCGACGATTTTTTTTTTAAAATGTATTAAGTTAGCTCATCAATATATTTTAATAACATAATAATAATATATATTGTAAGAGAATAGTAGTGCATTTTGTTTCGTATAATAATTTTGCTTACTTCTTTCAATATACTTTTTATTGTACATAATATATATTATAATAATATGGTAGTGGTTAAGACCAATAAAAACGGTCGAAAAAAGTCATGATATCATGTTAATCGTGGCGTTGTCAGATGATAAACGTAATTGTTTGAAAAGTCTAAGAAACTCTAGAAAGAGGCTAGTAAGTGATAACAATACGAGTACAATACCATTCCGATTTATGAAAAGATAAAGTTAAATATTATATTATATATCTTTATTCTTGTACAATAATAAACTACAAAAACCAGCTTAGATATTGTACTGAACGTTCGCTTTTGACTTGATTTTCCTCTTTTTGTCTTTTGAGGTTCATTTTGATGTATTTCAAGAGTATGATAATTTATTATCATAGTGTTTCAATAAAATTGTAACACGGCGTTATAGATAGGCTATTTAGCAACAGTCGTGGGTATTTTGTACGGTATCTAGAATATGATCGAAGAAGTATGTGATATTATTACAGCGAAACTTCCATTCAATAAAATTTTCCGTTTAACGATATATTTTTGAGATCGAAACCAAATTAGAACGAAATTTATTCAATTCTATTTAAAGAAATTCTCTACAATACGAATTTTTTGAAGCCCCATGAGACTTCGTACTATGGAAGTTGCACTGTATTATGATAAAATACAACGATGTAGGTTAGAAGAAAGTAGAGCTAAATATTAGTACGCTGTGTACAAACATCATACACACTTCGTGCTATACATAATATATTACATATTTAAATTTAGCGATGGACTGAATACTATTTTTAGTAACCTAAAAAATAAATAGTGTTTTTATTATACGATATTTGTAGTTATTCATGAGAAACTAATAGGTAGAATTTAGTCTCATCAGCTAAGATTGTTTAATTTAAAAATATTATTAACTACAATATTATTATAATAGTGAAAAATGAATGGCGTCTTACCAGATATATTATTTTAAATAATATATTTATTTAATCATTTAATTTTATTAAAATATGATTAATATATTTCATTATTTTCATTCTGTTATAAATTATAATAATATATCGTTTCGTCAACTTATCTATCAGTAGCCCGGAAATAATGTTATATTCGTGATTGTATAACCTGTATAATAATATCATAGTTCACGAATTTTGTCTCAAAACTTAAGTAAAATGAAATCGATAATATTATTCGTCGTGTACATAAATACAGTGTCTAAACGACGTTATTACCTTGAACCTTGCTATTGAAATTGTTTTATGCAATAGTATGCTCTATGGTTTAACACAGAGTTTTCGTTTTCGCGATTTGAAGGACAATAATAATTGTCCTCAGATCGTGTTATTGATTTTGTTCGACGCTTCAGATAGGAAAAAAAATAAAGAAAAAAAGGAACGTCATCACGATCATTATACCAACAACGTAAGCCTTGACCGGAAATGCTACAACAGTAGAGTCTGGTGTGTGTTTGTGTGCAGTGGTGTGTGTGTGTGTGTGTGTGTGTGTGTGTGTGTGTGTGTGTGTGAGAGAGAGAGAGAGAGAGAGAGAGAGAAATAACGGAATTACATGAGCTACTGACAACACCATAACGAGTTGATGACTTTTATTGTGGCCCTCGCAATACGCTGCGAAGGGCGAGGAACAACGATTCTACAGATTTGGTTTTACTATTTCTTTTTTCTTCTCTTTCTCATTCATTCGTTCCATCGCTCGGTTTCTTCTCAATCCCATTCTTCTTGCTGTCTGCTCCTAATCCTGTTTCTGAACTCTTGATTCATCTTGTCAAAGTCCGGGTCGAAGTCCGGTCCTTGAGGATGTTCCGAGGGCACGGTGGGCACCTGCTGGCGCAACCATTCGTGCGGCCGACCACAGCCTTCCGGTAATCCATCGGCCACCATTGCCGCCACCGGTTTCTGTTGTCTGTTATCGTCATGTATTAGGTTTTTTAAAGCACCGTTACCACCGCCACCGGACACAATTTTGTCCATGTTGTCCAAATAGTCAGAACTTAAAATTTTGTTTTTATTTGTATGACGAATAAAATCGTTGATGTTATAATACAGTTCTGCAGTGTATACATAACAACTTGCGTTTGGATACACGAACGAGTATGTTTATTTATTTTCATTTTATCGTTATGATTAGAGGTAGGTAACTATAGTTATAAAAATGTTATGTTGCAATCAATATATTTTGTTACTACTCATAAACTGTGTCAGGTCCATTTATGGCGAAGATGAGATTTTAGTACCTAATCCATATCGATCGATTCCCTTTCGACCATAATTTTATTTGATGAAATATTTGTGATTATTAAAAAGGACTTGTGTACAAAAGAATAATTCTATTGGTTTAAAATAATATGCAATTCGTTTATAATATTATGTTTTTAACGTTATACACAGTACACGCTGCATAATATATCTTCATCATTATTTAATAAGTGATGATTATGATAAATATATTCTATTACATCTTATAACAGTGATGTTAGGTAGTACTATAGAAGGGCATTTCAACAATTTTTCCCCATTTTTGTTTTTGTCTCATTATAATTTTAGTTAGTATTACATTAGTCTAATCGTCTTAACTCTAATCCGACTTAATCGTTTTGAACGGTTATAATAATAAAAAAATCATGGAACTCATAAGTTTCAACGGTAGGTGGTTTACTGTGATATCAATTAATTTATAACATACGGTTTTCGTGTTGTAGTTTATGGGCAATTCGATAAATATCGAGTATTATTGATTTGCCGAACAATCGATACGGTATTTGTTTTTTTTTCGCACACGGCTGTCTTGCACAATACAAAATTGCTGATTAATGTGCCACAATTACGGTTTAACACGAATCAAGAATCTGTTCTAGAGGTACTTGCAGAGATTTGAGAATTTCGCTGATGTATACGGAAATTGATTTGATGCAAGTGGTAGAAAACAAGATGATGGATCGTTGACTACAACTACGATGGCTTCCTTCACTCCTCGCCCATTAATATTCGATAACATTATCGCAAAAATCCGTCATGTAGTTTTCTACCTCGTCGAGTTCAAGTTATTATAATATTTATGCTAATTTCATAGTTATAATAAATAACCGTAAAACAAATCAAAATGCGATAAGAGGTAATAACTTTATTTTAATATACTTTTTTAAATTGTCTTAATATTTATAGTGATTAGGTTTAAAATATTTATTTATTTAAAGAAAATATTCTTGCTCTATTTTTTTTTGTGCACTTTTATATTTTTTAAAGTATAATGGTAAAGTATACTATGTGTAATGTATCAATATGTAAAGTTCAATTTTGAAATGAATAGGTACCATACAAAGATTAAATTGCCTTTTTTTATAAAACGTTTCATGTAGGTGATTATAATTGTTTTAATAGACACATTTCCCATTTTTTTGGTATGGTAAATATAGTTACTTTTGAATAATCATAAAAATAATATATTAAACATTATAATACTCAGGTCAACAGAAAACTACGATATAATTCAATTGGTCACTTTTTTTTATAATTATATAAATGTATAAGTAAATCACATTTTTAGAAAATAAACTAAATACCTAGTTATTGTTTCGTTTGATAGCTTTTTTTCGTCATAAGTCATTCGAGACATTAAAAAACCCAACGTCGTATACACTGAACAGTAAATTCGTAACATTTGGCGAATGTCGCATATAGTATAAATATATATATATATAAGGTTTCGTTACCGAGTTTCCGAGCACTGTTGTTTCCTGTTTAAGAGATCAGTAGTTGTTAGTTTGCCTTTTAACAGAAATACCATCGAGGGGCCAGAAATACAAAGGGATTGTGAATTGTTCTCGACAGAATATGAAAATAAACAGAAGATTTTCGCCTTATTCGGAAACTGATACGTATAATGCCGATAGTGTATAAAGAGCGATGGGGTTGTGACGTTCTGTAAAAATTTGATGAGACAGAAGAAACGAATTTTCGAGAACATAAATAACAGGATGAATATAGATGCCAAAAAAGGCGGACAACGGACGACGGCGGGTGGTAAAATATTTGAAGGGCTGCCAGCTTCAAGTCGGGATCATATATTACGATGATAGTAGTCATGTTTATATACCAATAAACACCAATGACGGACTACCATGTTATTATAATGGTTTATTCAAAGGAAATATAATATAGATTACAAATAATAAAATCGCACGAAATCTCGAAAACTACATAATGAGTAATGATTTATAATATTCTGTGTCTATTTGGACAGTATTAGTGTTATTATGCAAAACTATAAGCCTGTACATGTTATAATAGCAAAATACTTTTTTACTAATTTAAAATAAAAATATCAACGATCATTAGAATTAATCAGTGATCAAAATTACCGAGGTAAGTAATTTTTTATTTGAAAAATTATCTTTTTCGATCTTTATAACTGTGAAATAATTACTAATAGTGATTTGTTCACAATATAAAAATAGACCAATGATAAGGATTAAAATCATTTGACTTTTAAATTATTTATATTTAAAAAAAAAAAAAAATTAAAATTTTTAAAATATGTTGTAATGGTGTTATTTAAAGTAACATATTTTATTGGTAACTTTTATAATAGGAACTAAAAAACAGCAAAAACAAATAGTATTAAAATCTTAAATTATATTTATACTAAATATGTATTCCTATGCCATAGGGTTTGCCTAAATAATTGAAAAATACAAATGTTTTTAACACAGAACATTTTTACTAATTTACATTATTTCCGATAAACAATAAAAAATGAGTTGAATTGGTATTTTGAGAGTTCAGATTTCAATAAAAACGGAAAGAAATATAGATTGGACGATAAAGGGAAACAATGGTTTACATTTTTAATTTATACGTTTTATATAATAATATAACTATACAATTAAGTTAATTTTGGTTTTTTATTTTATTTATTTTTGTTATTTATGATCTTCATTAATCCCATTATATTATTTATTGAATTATGTTCTTTAAAATCCTTCGAGTTTAAATTGAGGTATACCAATGAGATCAAGACAAAACGTTATTGTTGTTGGCCATCACTAATTTAATTTAGTAAAATAATATTTTCTTACTTTGTATTCTGACTGTCATTATTTTTGATTGTGGTATTAAATGTTTTTACTATACCACATTGAATTGAATTTGAAATGAGAAAATCGTACTTAATCAAATTAAATTAAAGTTCGTAACAACATGGAACTTGTATATTTGATTTTAATTTCTTGAAAAGTATTATTTCCTTTGATTTTAAAAGAAATTGCATTTTTATCAAAAAGGAAAAACATCGTATGCTTAGTAAAAAAAGCCTTATCAATGTTTTTGCATTCAGGTATTCACCGATTATATGATTATCTTTTCTTCGCGTAATGTATACTTTATGTAAGTACATTTGAAAATAAAACGTCTAAATTATATCTCGTTCCCAACTAAATCACCGTATACAGAATATATATATATTACTTGTAAATTCGCTTCGGGTCGATCGTCTATATAACACTTGCTCGGAAAAATATTCTGATAACAGAATTCACTATTTTATTTTAAACTTTTTATAGCTCAACCTAAAATACCTCTAGTCGTTAAACATCTAACCTCAACGCTGCTATTACTAGCTGAATCGTATACAATTTATTATTATTATTATTATACATAATATATAAATACACGCGAAAATATATAATCTCGATCTTTATTGTTGACAGGATACCAAACGACCGGTATGGTGGAAAAGTGTGTTGCGGGGGGGGGGGGGGGGAGAAATATGAAAAAAAAAAAAAATGAAATGAAATATTACTCGGTTAAGGAGTAATGCGAAAACTTGTGCGCCGACCTTTAAGAAGAGGTTCGATGGTTCCCGATTAATCTTGCGAGAAACTTACGTGCGCGAGTGTGGGTGCGTGTTATCCCCCCCCCGCACATGCGCGTGTGTGGCAGAGGAGGACACGAATCCTTTTTACTGGCCCGTAAAGTTATACCTCACGGATATACAACACACGCGCACCCACACACCCACTCACAAGCGGGTTCACGTGTCTGTATAATGTATATATAATATTATATAATATTATCCTTGTACAGTCTGCAGTGCGCGTATAGTGTGCAGCAGTGTCTTTATATTGTACTCGAGATACGATCCGGGCCCCCGAAATGTGTCCTCGATTCTCGTATCGCAGGTACCCAATGAAATTGGCCATTATGCAAGTTTCGTGGAGGCTCGGCAAAAGTTATTCGCATTGAAAATCGTAAAACATCTCGCTTTATTTCGGTGCTAAAAGCTCTCGGTGGGTGGGTACGAAATCTCCGAGTGAAAAACATTTGATGTAATAATAATATTGTATATAAGATGTATTTTCACCGAAGAAACAATAACAATATTATGTATAATTATAATATGAGCGGCAACCCCGCGTATGGCATGTATACTAACATTATTATTCTTATTATTATTAATAATATAATTGCAAAATTATAATGGCTTACGAATTTACGATTCACAAATCAAAATACCGCCGTAATGACGTAAGTACATAATAATAATAATATGTGAATACGTAACAATGGAAATAATAGTATAATACAATAACTTAGATATTGTTGATGAGTAATTATTATAAGTAATAACTATATTACCCTGCACTCGTCGCAGCGACAATATTATAATTGAATATATTGATTTCTAATATTACAAATTTGTGACACGTTCTCCCACCCATTAAGAGATTAATGTTTTTTTTTCTACATTTAATGACGACATAAATGAAACAGAATGTTATTCGTGTGTAATACATATTATACAAATCTATTAGGTGAGAAATGATTTAGGTACACTCGACAACTATAGTAATATGTCGTCTACTTTTATATATGTTTAGTGACTTAGTGTTATTCGCACTTTGAAGTATTTACGTAATTCAAGTCCCTCTACATAGGTAGAGACCAAAAGTACGTGTGTACAATATTTAGTATAC